GACAAATCAAGTTTTCAAATGACAGAATGAAAGCAGTAGACGCGTTAGAAAGAAGCTGCTGTGCTTCAGAGCCTCATCAGATTGTTTATTTATAACAGAATGTGCTTACAAGCCGAAACCACTGAGCCTCTCATTTACTATGTAGGTGACAGTTACAGGGGGGGGGGGGGGGGGGTTCAGGGTGGTGCACCTGCTCTGCAAAGCAACTGCACACAGGTAGACACACACACACACATGCTATAAGACCGCATATACACACATGAAAGCTACAACACACAAGTCATAGAACTCATTCCCACAAAACACACAACATGCACAACCAAGATACATGTATACTCATACATACACACATCAACGCATACAAGCAAGCACACAACAACAGACACATTCAATACAAACACACACATGCACACTCACACAACTACAAGTAAGTATGCAATAATGTACACACACACATACAAAAGAAAAGCACACACACTGAACGTAAAGAACAAAATATATAAATGCACTCACACATACATACGACCATAAATGCCAGCGTCACATACTATAGACACAAAAGCACACACATGGACACACACGGCCCTACGTCTAACCACATTAAACCAGTATCATAAAGAAGCTTACATCACACACTCAATACTGACACAGTAACCTGCCAACTTGCACAGAAACACACACACACACCACCGCAAAACCAAAAACACACACAGAAGCTGGTTTCACAAGTTCAAACACACAACCAATAATCATTCAAATTAAGATGCACATCAAAAAGCATTACACACAAGCATCCACACAACTGCATATGTACTTATCCAAACATATATGTAAGTGCACCCTATACATTCACACACACACATCTTCTGATTGCTTTTCTGTATGTGTGTGTGCGTGTGCGCGTGTGCGTGTGCGTGTGTGTGTGTGTGTGTGTGTGTGTGTGTGTGTGTGTGTGTGTTGGCAGATTAATCTAGTGGGGTCGCTGAGATGACACTAATCCCTTCGCTGATTATCTAGAGCATAACATCACTCTAATCTGATGGTGGTGGTGGGGGGGGGGGGGTGGTAAGAAAGACAGACAAGGTTAGAGAGGGGGGAGAGAGAGAGAGAGAGAGAGAGAGAGAGAGAGAGAGAGAGAGAGAGGAGAGACGGGGAGAGAGAGAGAGAGAGAGAGAGAGAGAGAGAGAGAGAGAGAGAGAGGGGCATGTTCAGGTTGGGTTCATTAAACTCTCCAGTCGTTCTTCACTCTGTAGTTTGAGTTCATTTCAGGTGAGAATCGCAACAAATACCCAGTTTCAACCCTGAGAATAATATGAGTTCAGGTGATATACTTCCTACCTTTAAGACAGATTAACCCCACACACTGATCTACTTTACAGACATTAGTCCACTTGTGAGCAATGTGCTTGCAACAAACAGGCTCTGTTTCTACTCCAATGTGATGCTGATGCATTAGCTTATCATTCTTAAACTGTTGTGACCCTTTTCAAATCACCATATAGCAACACTAGAAAAAAACACCTAGAACATGGTTTATGACCAATAATTGACTCACAATGTTCTAACCCTTATCACATCTTCTTAACCCTTAAAAAACGATATCAATGATACACATTTGCTTCAATAACTAAACCCCCCATTAAACCACAAAGAAACCGCCTGTTTGGGACTCAAGTTTTCTGCAGTGCAAAACCAAGTTTAATTTGCCCACTCCACCAAACTGACTGTTCACTGTCCTGTTGATGTGATACAGAAGGTTCAATAGAAATGTTTCCAATGAGCACAACTGGGGCACTAAACGTGGACAAATGTGTCAAGCATTGTCAAGGTGTGCGCCTTATTAAACATTCAATACGTGGTATATCACCAGTCATTGAACCTGTCTTTATTTCTACAGAAAGTGTTGACTTGAAAGGACTTGACCAGATTCAGGTGGACTCTAATGACTGGTTGGGACACTGTTTCGTCATATGTTTTCTGTGTAGTTCAGATATTGCTGCAACTGCATTGTCTTGGAAACCTAGAGAAACACATTCCTCAACCCCATGGATCAGAGCAGACCCAATATCACACCAAAACTGGAAATGGCTCGTAATGGATGGACAATTCTGTCTGATATCAGGTACCAGTAAAGTACGTTGTCAGAAACATAGCTGTGAAACCTACACAAAGATGAAATTGAGATTTTCTTTGGTATTTTTCAATTTTTTTCCATTTTACTGAGGAAAGTGCTTCAAGGACGACTCATCAACATAACTCATATGTTTGTTCATTGGACATCTAAAGAGCGGTGCATACCTTTGTCCTGAAACTTTTCAATGGAATCATCAAGGACTGACTCCCACGCAGAAGATCAAACAATCTGAGTTTTTCATATGTTCTTTAGAATATCACAATGGCTTAAGGCTGTCCACACTGGAGACAGTCAAGTCTGTGCATCAAGTAAAAATGTAACAAATCATTCCACCTCCACCATTTCTGTGTGTGAAAATGTCTGGGAAGAACAAAGGCAGAGTCGCTCTTTGACAAAGAACACACCATCACTGATATTGATGAAAGCTCTGTGGTTTAAGTATTGGTTGTGAAATGTTACATTTTCCATTACGATACGCAAAAAAAAAAAAAAATGAGAGAAGCCAACGGGCTCAGAAGACAATCTGGTATTACCCAGATCAGAGGAGTCACAGGCAGAACGTGTAGAGGGTGTGTGTGTGTGTGTGTGTGTGTGTGTGTGTGTGTGTGTGTGTGTGTGTGTGTGTGTGTGTGTGTGTGTGTGTGTGTGTGTGTGTGTGTTCCATATCCGTGGCTGTCTCTGTCTCTTAGTGTTATCATTATCAAAGTAAATTGCAGCTCCCATGTGCCAGATGAAGAATACAATATTTCCATTTCTGACTCTGCCGCTACATGCCGTGATCACAACACTGTCACAACACATCGCACACACACTGGATCATCCCAGCAAAGGCCCATGATACTGAAGTTTTGCATTACTTTCCCTTTTTTTATTTATATACAAGGTTTTCCTATCATCTGCTGTTTGCATTCACAACTAACTAAGCAAATACAGGAGTTAATACAACGCGTAGGAAAATATAATATGATACTTTTTCATTTGAAGTTTTGCTAAAATTGAAAAGGGAAAACGTGAAGCAAGGCAATCATTAATGAACCGGGACATAATGACACCGTGCAGTTTTTATTCTTTGGATTTTCTTTACTGGGGACATTATGAGTCAAAAGTTGCATGCAACCAAGATCATAGAAATTCATTTTCAAAAAGTATTCCATTAGGTTTTCTGGTAGAGAACCAAAAGGAAGATTAATGTTTTTTTTGCCACAGCTGATCTTAAATGACCGGACTTCTTTCTGTGGATTGATATAGCTGCGCATGGTTCTACACCCTAACCCTAAACCCAACCCTAACCAACGATTAAAGGTAGGGTAGGTAATTTTGGAGAAACCAGCTCGAGTGCGCTAGAATTTGAAAATACACAACCGGAAAAAATCTGCCACTTCCTTACAGAGCCCCTCCTCCAACACACACGAACGCGCACATGACCAATGAGGGCACCAGATAAGTTTGTGCACAGATGGAAGGCTGACAGGCAGGTAGGCCATCCAGTTACTTTAGCCGGGCCGGCTAAAATGATTGGTCGTGCTTTTTACAGTTCTACGGCTTCCACAGATGACATTTTTTATGGATTTTTTGTCAAAGTACTTAAGATATTCATTGCTATCGGGATGTTAAGAGCATTCCATGGAATATAACAAAAAGTGTATCTCGAGCCGGTTTCTCAAACTTACCTACCCCACCTTTAATCGGGAAAGTAGACGCATAAATAGAATTTGTTTCTTCCAAATCCGTGTTTTATTCAGTTGACAACTTCTACCTATATGACAGTCATAATGAAAAATAAAAACAATTCTACAAAGTGTCCATAGACCAATCAGAATCGAGTATTCAACCAAGCTGTGTAATAATAGATGTTAACACCTCAAACAGGAAGTTTTAAAGAACCACACACATTTTGCCTGGTCCTTCATTTCCAGTAGAATCCTGAATTCCAATAAAACCATTAAATTATATTTCGAATATGATGGCAGCTTTGCAGTGACAGTTTAGGGAAGACAAAAGCCAAAGATGGTTTTCTGACTTTGAAGTGGAAGCACCAACTTTAACCTCATCCAACACCCTATGTATGACTGGAAAACTAACTGTAAACCAGTTCCTATCCCTAACATCAGGACTCGATGTATGCCTTCAGAAAGGCTGTAAAATATGAAAGACGAAAACCAGAAGAGTTGAGGCTGATGAGGTGTCCATATACTTTTGGGGGCACAAGTATAGGTATTTTGCTGGTATTTTTACCAGTACTTTACAAACCGCACAACTACAAAGGCATGAACACACTTGCATGAACTCTTTCAGGCTTCAGAATGGAAAGTTAAACATCTAAATATACAGTATCTTTCATAAGAGAAAGAGTGATTAAAACCAACAAATGAGAGAAAGAGCCAGAGACAGAAAGAGAGCAAGTGGAGCTGACATCTTCCATATTTGATGCATCCAGTCAAAGGTAATTAAGCTCTGCGTGTGTGTGTGAGTGTGTGTGTGTGTGTGTGTGTGTGTGTGTGTGTGTGTGTGTGTGTGTGTGTGTGTGTGTGTGTGTGTGTGTGTGTGTGTGTGAGGAAGATTATCTGTGTCAGTGGCCATTTGCTCACAACTGGCGCCACATCGAAGAGAGCCAGAGGCAGAGAGCATCATGGGTAAATGAGCACACACTGCCTAGCGCTTTCCCACACACTGGGCCGAGGGAGAAGGAGAAATTGCATGCCAGATGACCTGTCTCCTCCAGAGTACGATAGTGTTCCACTAACTCTCTGCACACACACACACACCGGCCGTTTTTTAAACCCAACAAAGCAGGCAATGCATGATTTGATGGAAAGAAAGAAAAAGCATCGTTAAATCATACAACACACACACAGTTTTTGTGTACCTGATAGCCTGCTGGAGTTCGCGTACGGAGGCGAGAGGCTGTCATGTGACGCCATGTACTGAGACCCATCTGCATAACTCTGGAAAGACATAGACGATAATGATATTTAGTCATTTGATCACTATAAGCAGCAGAGATCATTGAGATAATAATCATTTGAATGGCAGATGCAACAGTATATCAACATTAGTCTTTAGACAATGTAGTACCAGCAGTAGAGATTATGTGATGGCTAAAGGCAGAGGCATACAAGATATATATACAGTAGATATATATTGGTAGGTTTCTGTTATCATGTTACAATACACATATAGCCTTTACCCCATTTACACTGCGCTGCTTCATGAGTTGTAGGCATATCGGGCAGTTTTTTTTATATGGAAAAGCCAATTGTAAACACAACAAAGACATAATAATAGACATGGATTAAAGTCCCACTGCTCAATTTTCTAAGCAGATGTCGAAAATATGTAAATGCATTTATCGTCGCAATATGCTTATTTAATAGAGTGGTGCAGAAATTAGTCCTAAAACCCGGAAAGGTCAATGGTTTTTGAACGTGTTTGTTTTTGGATGCCTGAAATAATTATCAAGCTGAAGAGATTTTCATGTTTTGTTCTGCGAAATAAAAAAACATTGTTGCTTTTTGTCGAGGCAGCCCTTGAGATGCTAACTTCCGGGTCAGCCTACTGTACAACAAATACGTAATCACTGCACCGCTCTATATTCTGTCCAATAAAGTCTCCTTATACTGTATGTCAAACAATGTAACTTACATGTCAGAACATCCTGAGGGTAATTATAGTAGCGATAATTCCAGCATGGAGTAGCAGTTCTAATGGCACTAATTGCAACATTTAATAAAAAAAATTATAGTAGTTGTATTGTTGTTACCTTTGAAGATCGACTTCCACTAGCCCATGATCCTGCACTCGATCTCTCCTCCATATCTGTAAGAAAGAAAAACAGAGGTTTAGATCACAGTCGTTTATTCAGCAGTTAGCATTTACTCTCTGGTGCTACGGTTCCATCCCAGTCCTCAGATCAACATTTGAATCGCTCAGTGTGTTCATCACTTTCAACCAAATACTTAATACCAGATATGATATCACTGTCCAGTGTCTACGTTAAACTACTGAAGCGTATTTCATTCTCTCTCCATGTCATTAAACATTATTGATTATGATTGCAGAGCCTTTTATGTGTCTTAGTGAAATGTAATGGTCCTTTAAGCCTCCTGCAGAAAAATAATCCCCGCTGTCATTACACTGCATCCATGTTGTTATATCTGTCATATCACCACGTTTTTTCCACCCTGAACCAAGTCATTTTAGTTTATAAAATCAACCTAACAATAACCAAGGTGGTGATCGATCAGAAAACAGCGAAATTATCATTTTTGTAACAGCCATTTGAAACTGACAATCTGTTTTGTTATTTAAATATGAGGACTTGCTGGATTAGACAGACGTACAGAGGTCAAGAGGCAATGACATCCTCGGAGAGAAAGAGGAGGGGGGGGGGGGGGGGGGGGTTGTATATGACAGGTAGATCAGTTCATCCAGGTCAAACGCTATGTGCAAACGGAGCTCTCGCTGACAGTACTCACACACACACACACGCACTCACTGTCATCTCATGCATTGTAGTGTACAAATCTCTCCTAAATAGGCTCTCCATTGTGTCAGCGAGTGTGTAGTGAGCAGCTTACATTCATTGTCAAGTCATTTGGAATGTCAGCTTATCTGCCATTGAGTGTGTGTGTGTGTGTATGTGTGTGTGTGTGTGTGTGTGTGTGTGTGTGTGTGTGGTGTGTGGTGTGTGTGTGTGTGTGTGTGTGTGTGTGTGTGTGTGTGTGTGTGTGTGCCTTTTGGAGTCAAACCAAATGTAGCTACCTCAACAAAAGTACCTTAGGGCTACATATGTGTGGAGTAGAAAAGACTAGAATAGATTGTATGCAGGTTTAGTGAAGATTACACAACAACTATTGATGGAAAATTGGATTTAGGGAGTATAAACTTGATCAGACATAATTCAACATTCATTTGGATTGTACAAATGGACATTTATCGACAATGTGCATTTATCAAAGCAAATAACTGACACAAAACTAGATTCAGGGAACACACACTTGTGCATCACACTTGAGAAGTTATTAAGATTAAGGAAAACAAATCAGATAAATAAATGATTGAATTTCTTTTTTTTCTGCTAATGCTACAGCATTGGTTCCCAGGTGTTACCCTACAATGTCACTATAGGAAGTCAGTCAGTCAGTCACAAGGTTTCTAGACACCACACTTTGAACATTACATTACATTATGTGAACCTACATTTAAAAAAATTGTCAAATAAAGACTTTTTGGAAAATAAGAGTTGACCAAAGTGGGGGACATTCAATAAAAGTTGAGTTGGTTGATAGAGGGGCCAGAGGCTGGAGGAGTGGAAGTGAAGTTGGGGAGGGAGAGGATGAAGTGGACAGCAATTAAAGAAAACATCATTCAGTATTGAAAAGCAAGAGGATTGAGATTGGAAGAGAGGGAGGAGAGGAGAGGAAGAAGAGAAGAGAGAAAACAACTTGGTGTGCAGGAGTTAAAAGGGGTGGAGGAGGAGGTGGAGAGGAGAAGGAGAGAAGGAGGCGTCCATGTGTCCTGCACCTGATAAGGCCTCCGATTGAGGGCTATAAATTACACCAGAGAGTATTTACACACAAGCAGGGAAATGCATTCTTAAAAGCACACATACACACTCTCTCTCACACACACTCACACATGTGGTCACACACACACACACACACACACACACACACACACACACACACACACACACACACACACACACGCACACACACACACACATACACACACACACACACACACACACACACACACACAACACACACACACACACACACACTTGGTGCGGGTCATCTATCATCAGTTAATGAACTTAGACTGACAGACAGCTCCATGTCTCTCATACTGATCCTATTAAGACCTGCTTGACACAAAACAGACTCCTATTAATACAGTTACCCTCTGTGTGTGTGTGTGTGTGTATGTGTGTGTGTGTGTGTGTGTGTGTGTGTGTGTGTGTGTGTGTGTGTGTGTGTGTGTGTGTGTGTGTGTGTGTGTGTGTGTGTGTGTGTGTGTGTGTGTGTGTTTTCTCAGGACAAAAACAGGCCTGTACCCAGGCCCTGTCTGACCATTGAGCCACTTTTTTTTGTAACATTTTAAATGGTCGTATGGACCAACAGATAACGCATTCATTGGACAGTTTCTGTATTTTGTAGAAAGAAAAAGATGATTGTGAGCAATGTTAGTCAAGAATATAACAGAATACCATCTATTTACTACAAACAGGTTAAACGGAATACAAAAACATCTGTCTATTCATTCACATTTTAATAAGGAAGTGTCAAGATAATGCCAAATTGTTCAGTTTTTGATGTACAGTAGAAGGGACAATCCCTGCATTCTCCTGCTGATTCATGTCTTTGGTGAACACATTGTACATTGTATTGCACAATTTTATAGATGTGCTTCGCTCATTTTATATTTCCATGAACTGCATAAGGACCCAATGGTACTTTGTCTTTGGAATTATTGCTAAAATCACATGTATATTGTCACAAAATCCTGTGGTTGTTCTGCTTTGCTTTAACATCAAACCACCCCAACAGTCTTACTGGAGCTATAACCCCACCTTTAAAGTGATGTCATGGTTTTTTTTGGTCAGAACCGCAGCCTAAACAATTGCATGCCAATGGAAAAGATCACTAGAGTGCATTGGAAACTACAGTTACATTTCAGGCCTTATCCTCAAGTACACATGTTTTTTTGAAGACAGGGTTTTTCCTCCTCAAAATTGTAAGCAGTGGCAAGCCCTGCAATTCCTGCCAAACCAACAGGTGGCGATAGAACTCTAAAATTAAGGTCATTTTGGCCGCAAAGTAGACAATTCAGATGTTGAGCCTCTGAATCCTGACAAAACAGTAGTAACACAAAGATACCATGTCGAAAATGGCCCGTCTGTGTCGTGGGATTGTTGGATGTAGAACTAAGTGACCTCCGGACGCTGTTTGACCCAACTGTTTCTTAAAAAAGTTCAAGAGTAACTGTGTATGTGTGGACAATTGAAGAGTCCTGTTAGTAAACTACGCTTAGAACTATTAACCGTTAACTATTTTCACCACGTCTCGATTGCAAGAATTCTGCCTAGTTTGTATCGCCTCACGAATGAGATTCACTCCGTCCGTTTTCTCTGTCTACACTGAAAACAAGATAAAACCTGAAAGGCTTTTTACAAATTTCAGTGACCTAAAACGTGCATTTACATGTAGAGAAAAGGCACATAGAAAAATATACGTTAAGAAGAAAAATACCCCAAAAGCCTTCTTACGAAAACACTAGGCATTTTTGCTAACCACAAGATATGACGTTTAAAGAAACTCTCTGGGGTTTTGTGATATAATTCGCTTCGTATTTTCCTACTGTAATTACTCTGACTACTGAAATTGTGAGACCTGCAACCGACATCCACCATAAAGACTGTCCCTTTCACAACCAAAACGTTGGTGAGAGCATTACACAAACACATGTTGATTAAGTTAATAAATGGGCTCTCTGATTGACAGAAATGAGGACAGTGGTCATGCTGAGAGAACATCAAGCGCCAGTGTGTGTGCACCTGTGAGAGCTCTATAGTCCCACTGTTCTCATCTGGTGCCCAACCAAACTCTATAATTAACCGTAGGCCTTCCCCATCCCCCAACACACACACACACAGTTCAAACAGTGTGTGGTGATCAGAAAGGGTTCTGTCATCAGACCTGTTGGGGTATATTTGTAATTTCTTCAAATTAAACACTCAACTGAAATGTTACCGAAATATGTGAATTAAAAAACACACTTGTTTTGTTCTTCGAGTAAAAAGGATCATCAGAAATTGACATATTGGCCTTGACTATGTGTAAAGATTATGTAAAGAAATTCCTTTTCAAACTCCATTTGAATCCTTTTAAGGTTTAACGTATCATCTGTAACTCAAAATAATCGTGTATAACACGTTTTCCAATATCTTCCAATAGAGCTATCGATGGGATGAAAAAATACGTGTTAAAAACAGCAAAACTAGTTCATATATTTTAAACCAAATTGAAGATTTTAAACCATCCATTCACAAATCTGTGGCTGATTTCAAAGTCACCACGGCCATGTTTACAAGGTCTACTCTACAGGATGGAAACAAAAACCACAGAAGAAGAACTCTGATGCTAGCCACAGCGGGTCCTTGACATCGTAGAAACAATTTGAGAAATAGACATGACCCATTTAAATTGCTTGAGACTTTCTATTTTGTGCAAAAATATAAATTGATAAAAAAAAATTGTATTACTTAACTTGATTACTTCTTTCAATCCACTACTGTTAATAATATTATAATGATAAGTTGAATCCTCAAGTAAAGCAGTAGGGGGCAAGGTATGTAAGTGAAAAAGCAGAAAAAAGGAGAGAGATGAGGAAATGAGGAGAGGAAGGAAACGTTCAGACAAAAAAGGAAAGTGGAGAAAAGGAAAGGAAAGGAGAGAGGAACTAAGGAAAGCAGAGAATGATCAAGATGAACTAAGGAGAGATACACAAAACCCCTCTGATTGTGATGCATTGAAAACAAAGGGTGCAATAATACAAGGAGGACAACTGAGACACACATATCTAACCCATTTTATAAAATGCAAAGAGAAGCTGCTTGTACTCACTGGACCACATTCATGTTATTATCCTGGGTAATCACACACACACACACACACACACACACACACACACACATACACACACACACACCACACACACACACACACACACACACACACACACACACACACACCACACACACACACACACACACACACACACACACACACACACACACACACACACACACACACACA